CGCCACCGCAAGCTCATCAGCATCAACAAGCGGTACACGGGCAAATCCAACAGCGAGTTCAACCTCCGCCATGACTGGAACTCGCTCCTCAGCCACGACCGCCGGCTGCTTTTCCGACGCTACTCCCGCGACTTCTTCCCGAGTGCTGATACAATGGTGCGTTACCTCGAGGACTTCGCTTCCCTGCTGAAGCTGCGGGTTCAGTACAACACGGCCATCGTCCACGTGACGCTGGAGACAGATGAGCAGGCCTGGAACGGACACTACTTCCTCCTGACCGACCAGGACAGGCAGAACTACAAGTGCAGGTAATTGGCAAAGCTGGGGCTGGCTGTGCTGCTCTCCATGGGCATCTCAGAGGTCACAAAATCACAGAGTAAATGAGGTTGGGAGACCCATAAAAGGTCACTTAATCCAAGCCCCCTGCCCAAAGCAGGGCCAGTGACATCAGGTTGCTCAGAGGCTTACCCGGCTGTGGCATGAGTATCTCCAAGGATGGAGATATCACAGCCTCTTGGAGCCTTAACCACCATCCCAGAGGAAACACATTTTGCAGGGATCAGTGGGGTGGGTGCAGTAACTGCTCCTAGGATGGCGTTGCCTTTCACGAGCAACATTGTGCCCTGGACAGCTGAGGAGCTGGCAGGGCAGACACAAACTGACTGTGATTGCCGTCACTGCAAGTTCCATCCTGCACAGATAAGCTTGAAATCACTTTTGGTTTGTTACTAGATAACTGCTCTTTGTGGAAAGAAAAAACAAAAAAACCCAAAAAACCAAAAGGCAACTCAGTCGTGCTCATTATAGCCACTGTTGCCTTCATCACAAATTCAAGTGAGTCAGTGCAGCAACATTTCACTTCCACCTGAAGCCCTGGGCTGGCACAGAGCTGGCAGGGGGAAACCAGAGGAAAGTGGAGCTGTTGCAGTAGAGGGAGCTGATTGAGAAATAACTCTCAGAGCTGCTGATGCCTGAATTCCCCTTCCGCTTGGCACACTTGTGCCTGTGCATCCCATACCACCACGGAGCTACATTCCTAAAAACCTGTAAGTTACTCCTGTGAACATATGGAATATATTTCTCACCTCTCCTGAAAGCCTCAGCTCTACGACAGCAGGTTGTGCTGGCTGTCACTTGGACGTGCGCTGGCTGGCAAGCTCGGGGGGACAGAAGGCGATCCCAGACACCCACACACCATGGGTTGCTCTCAGGAGCGACGTGAGCAAGGCTGGGACAGCAGACAGTGCCGCCAGCCTCGGCTGCCTGCTGTTTCCATCTAGGTCACAAAAATTTCCCTAAGATTTAAGTAAAAGTTCTTATGGAGAGAGAGAAAAAGATTCCTGTACTTTCAGTGTTAACAGTTAGTGATGTTGCTAATGTTTTTATGACTGGGAGTTACAGTTACAACGACTAGGAGGACAATTTTAAAATACTGAAACCATTTTCTACCCCTCTTAAAAATTACTTTTGTCCTGCTCTACTAAAAGGCAACACAAATTTTAAATCAAAGTAATTTTTTAATGCAACATATAATCAACCTGTGAAACTTCAGTATTATACATATCATCAGTGAGTAGTTATGAGTAATGCTTGAGCATTCATGAGCAACAGGGGGAGATGGGTATGTACAGCACCTGCACCGACTTTCGCTATATATAACGATGTTCCTGGTTGTCTTGGTTGGCCTGAGGATAGGGAAGGCAGGAGCAGCTCATTAGGTGAAGCTAGGAAGAGGTTTCTCTTGAAACTCTGACCTGTGCAGCTGATCTGGCTTGGCTGCAGAGGGCACATCACAGCCATCTTCCACAGCAGGAGGAGGAAGGGGTGGTGAGATGGGCCCCATTCCCGTAATTCTTGCATTCCCTGGCGCTATCCCTGTTTTTGCAGCTCTTTGTTGGTCGCCACTGGGACGTGGGTCCCCAACGTGGTAAACTTCCCTGGCTCAGAGTACGTTGAGGGTTATGAGACTGTGTCCATCAACCCAGAGGATTTTGCTGGCCAAACTGTGTTGATTTTGGGCCGAGGGAACTCAGCCTTTGAGACGGCGGAGAACATTCTGGGCGTCACGAATTTCATCCACATGGTGAGCCGGTCCCGCGTGCGCCTTTCCTGGGCCACCCACTACGTCGGGGATCTGAGGTAAGAAACCCTCCTCTTCCTCTTTCTGAGACAGCTGAGTACAAACACAGGGAACCACTTGCCCAGGCAATGAGCTGGGCTGGCACAGGAGGTGCTGTTGTCCTGGAGGTCGCAGAGGAAGCATGGGGCTGTCTATCTTTAGTTTCTTGGTGTAAAGCAGTCCAGGTTGCTGTTGTGTGCTGAGAGCTTTTTGGGGTCTGTATGAAATAGGAAAATGTCCACTTGGAAATGGTATCATTAAAAAGTTCTGGCTCCCAAGTTGTTCCCCTTGCTTGCAGTGACAGAGGAGAGCTCAGAGGTTAACTACATCCTGCAGGGGCAGTGAGGCTGTTAATCGTGCTGTTCCTGTGAGCCCTGAAGCTCTGGGGATAACTTTTGCACTGAAAGGGAGCGTGGGATGCCTGGTAAACATGTCCCATTTCCAGCTGCTGAGACTGAACCATGGATCCCACCTCTCCTCACTCCTTTTAGCTCTTACAGTCCCCTTTTTTTTTATATAGAGCAATTAACAACGGCCTGCTGGACACCTACCAGTTGAAATCTCTGGATGGGCTTCTGGAGGGCGACCTGGAAGATCTGGCTATCATCAGGGACAAGAAAGGGAAGCTGCACATCACGCTCCGGTTCTACCTGGAGAACAGGAACGCCAGCGCCGGCATCGACTCCATCACCCTCCCGCAGGACGAACTGGACAATTTCGCCACCCGCGCACCTTACGACCGTGTCATCCGCTGCCTGGGCTGGAAGTTTGACTTCTCAATCTACAACAGGTGAGGGACAACCAGGGTCTCCAGGGAAGCAGGTATTTAGAGCAAGACTGTGAAGGGCCTGACTAGCGATGAAAGGGAGGGCAGGAATCTCCTGAGAGCATAACCCACCCCTCCACATGCTCTGAGCTACCTGGTGCTGCACAGTCCTTTGTTTACCCCACAGCCACGTCCCTGTCCAGTGGGAACATGGGTGCCTCTGCCCTCTGACTGACAAGCTGTAGGGTGGAGCAAATGGCAGTGTTGGGACCTGAGTGATACCGAAAAAGCTTGTGCCCTTAGAAGTTAACGTCCTGACCTGCCAGATCACATAGAGAAGGCTAGCAGTGTTTTGTTTCTTTTGTTTTTAAATGAGGATGGTGCAGGTATAGATCACTACAGAAAGGTTTTCTCTGCTTTTTTTCTCCTGAAGATGCAGCCTTCACCCCCCCTTGGTTTGTCTCCTAGTACCTCTTGCAGTTGAAAATGCTACTGCTAACTTCACTGTCTTCTCAAGTTCACAGTCAGTGGCTCAGGCTCGAATTTGATCTTGTCCAGAGCTACTTTGAGATGAGCACCCTTGTCTTCTGGAAGTTCCTCACTGACTTTATGCTCTTGGGAAAGTCGTAAATCCCACTGAAGGTATTGGGGGCACGAAGCAGTGTCTTGCAGTGGCTGCAATATAACGTGTGCCTTATCAGAAACACTTCATTTTTCCACCCCTGCCCTTCCTGACAGCCTGCTCTTCTCTTTCACACATCAGATCCCTTAGAATGATGCCAGGAAAAGGAAATAAAAAGAAGTATCCTCAGATCAAACCTAGTTACGAGTCCAGAGGCACTCGGGGGCTTTTTGTTCTCGGCACTGCTAGCCACTCTGTTGACTTCAGAAAATCTGCTGGGGGCTTTATCCATGGATTCCGGTATACAAGTGAGTACTGGGGTGTACAGAAAGGGCAGAGGTGGGAATTCTTACCCCCTTTGAAGGAACAAATCATAGAGCTTACTGCTGGAAAGAGATCACCCTTAGTCTTGTCCTGCCAGTAAGAACAACAAAATACAGCCAAGCTGCAGCTGCATCTCTGAAGTGGAGTAGAAGTGACTTAGGGTCATATCTGAAGTTTTTGGTTGTCTGTCTTTGTTTTATCTTGTGTCTCTCTTGCCCATTGTCTCTTATTTATGTAACACAGTAGATGTCTGCCTGCCAGATGCTCTGCCTCGTGACAGGCTGTGGGTGAGAGGTCTGTGCTGTGGAGTTAAAACCCAGCAGCTTTGGGCAGTAGAGAGAATTTCCATCTTTATTTGTGTGTACCCATCCTTATCATTAAAGGACTGCTCAGAAGTAATGAAATATCCCTGAGGACCCCCCACCCCCTCACCAGCCACTTAGCATCACAGCAGCCTTCAGAGGGCATCTCCACTGCAGTTACAGTGACTGAGGGGGGAGATCCTGAGCACGGATGAACTGTAAAGCTCATTTACTGTGTCGTGCCAGTATCTGCGTGTGCTGCAGCAGAGAGATCCGATTTCTTAAAAGGATAAGCTTGGATTTTTAAATGAGCTCTCTTCTGTTTCTCTCAATAGCTCGTGCAGTCCACCGCCTGTTGGAGAACCGTCACCACGGTGTCCCCTGGCCATCCACAGTCTACCCAATTACACAGCTGACCAATTCCATCATCAAGCGGGTGAACGAGGCCTCGGGCCTCTACCAGATGTTCAGTGTCCTGGCTGACATCATACTGCTGAGAGAGTGAGTGAGTGAGTGAGTAATTATTCCCAGCACTGCTCTCCCATCATTTCATTCCCTTTACTTTACCGTTGCTTCCCCTGGTACTACCACACAAATTGCTCCCTTGCTGCCTAAAGGACGTTACCGTTGCGTAGGCAGCCACCTCAAAACCTGCACCACTGCTGCAACTGGTGGCAGTGTGCCAGATTCTGCCAATTGCTTCTCTATATTAAGGGGCTTAAATGGTCCAGACCTTCCCTCAGGGCTCAGACGTGGAGTACCCTTTTACTGGCCCCAGGGAAAAGCTTTCCTTGAGCAGTGCTCGTGTAGAGAGGAATCCCATAATCCATGAAAATATTAAGAGTCTTCTAACAGTATCTGCAGCCTTTGTAAGCAAATAATTACTGTCTGATGGCTCTTTGGCCTTAGCTTCGACCAGCTGAGGGAGTGCTGGATCCCAGCTGGCTTTTCTCCAGTGGAAAAGTCTGACGGTTGTGGTTGCAATTCACAGGAAAGCCACAGCATTTGCATACCTGGAAGAATACCCAGCTGGAGTCCTGGCCGAGCTGGAAACGCAGACGGGGAGAAAGGCTCCCAACGGGCTGTTTGTCGTCATCATGGAGTATGGGAGGAATTTTTCTGGGGCTGACAAGGATGTCTTCTACTACAACCGAGCCGTGGGAGAGGCCCAGCATGCCTGGCAGTCCAACTTTTTGCACCCTGTTATTTACTATTACAGGCACCTCCCAACAGGTAAGCTTTCCTGTCTCTCCCTGCTAATTATCTGATACGAGCAAAACAAGAGAGGGATGGGGATACTTCAGAGACAAAACTGGGGGGCAGTTCCCGAAGGCGTTGCACACCCTTGTCCTCCACTTCCTTCATGTCCGTCCTCTGGAGCACACACCATGACTGTGAGAGCTGAAAAAAAAGCTGGGAGTTGACAAGAAGTTTCCATTGGTCAGACCAATATGAGGTGTGGGGTGGGAGGGCTGTGCCAGAGACCTCACATTTGGGCATAGGAACAAACCAGTGCGCTGGGATCTGCCCCATTCCCAAATTTGGCTGGCACCCTGCATGTATTTTGCAGAGTCCCAGCAGATGAGGCTGGGCTGTTCAGTGTTAGCACCAAAAGAAAGCTGCTCCCTGTGGCTGGCCCAGGTCTGAGAGGTCACACAGTGCTGGGGGCAGCCAAAGGCAGGAGTTTGGAGATGAGTGTTACATCCAGCGAATGAACACGCTCAGAACAGATTTCCTTGGGAAATGAGTGTGCTGAATCTTCATCTCCAGAAACCTCGGGTCAGGGTCCAGCCTGCTTTGCACAGAAAGAAGCGTGATGGGTATCAGCATTAAGGCCTGAATGCAGCTTAGCCCATCTGGCAGTCCCTGCCCAGGGGGAACAGGAGTGAAATGACAGGAAGCACTGCGGGCAGGGACCAGGGGCAGCTGTGCTGTGGCAGGGCTGTTGAGGACTTAGCTAGAGAGGATTGCAGTGAGAGTAAGGTAGGGATTAAAAGGTCAGGACAAAAGCTGGAACAGCTGCCGTAGCTGCTTTCCACTCCCCAAGCAATTTTTAATGCCATTTTGATTCTGAGAGGTTCCCTTAATGTTCTCTTGGCAGAGCGTGAGATGAGACTTCGGCCCCCAGATTGGGCTCTGCCCCGCCCAGACGCCATCCATCACATCGTGGAGGACTTTCTGACAGACTGGACAGCCCCCAACGCTCACATCCTGCCACTGAGACGGTTCTTGGAGAACTGCCTCAGCACTGACCTGCGCAATTTCTTTGCAGGTAGTGTGAGCACAGGGTCGAGGTGGCAGGAGGAGGAGGAGGGATGTGAGGAACACATAACGGGAGCGATCTCTTCTGCAAATAGCTGAGATCTCCCTGTGGCGAGCTGGTGCTCTCACCTCCTCCAGTCACACCTCTTTGATGCACTCCCCAGATGGTGAAAGTGCCGGTGCTGTGTCTGTTCCCAAATAGCCTTTGCTCTTGCTCACCACCAAAAAGAGCCTGCCCCAGGATTTAGGGAAAGGTGTATGAGGTTGGGTTCAGTCCCTTTTCTAGCTGCAGCTTTCCTTCCTCCTCCATTATCTGAACGTTCCTTTGTGCCATCGGGTACCAGGTCTCTTTCTGTGTTCTGATGGTGGGATTGTTTTCCCATGGGAAATGGAAGTGCTGGGATGCGAGAGCTGGAGAGCCTCAGCTGCCTCCCTTCCTATAGGGTCTGGCAACCTCCTGCAGGAACCCCACATGACACACAGCAGGAAGCAATCCTGTGGTACGAAGAAGATGCCAGAGGGCTGCAAGCTCAAATCCAGCTCCTTTCCCTCTCGAAGTGCAGACTGGAGATCCCACCCCGCATCTCCTGAGCTCTGCGGAATCAAGTCGATGACTCTGCTGCCATCCGGGGTGGGGTGCTGGGTGGGAAACTGTAGTCATCTTCCCTCATCCTCTCTGCCTTTTGTTTTGAATGAGTCCTCAAGAGTTTATGGGAAGTTTTCTCTACGGGGTATCTCTGCCAAGTCTGATTTGTGATCCTTTCCCCTGCAGAGTCCTGTTTCCTGTTTGCCTTCACCCGTCAGAAGCTGCCTCCCTCCTGTCGGCAGGGGTACATGAGAATGCAAGGGCTCGTGGGGAGCGCGGGGCTCCGGCGCCACGCGGTAGAAGCTGGCCTGCTGGAGGACTACACTCTCACAGACTTTTTGGGCGACAGACCCCCTGACAGCCCTGAAGGGTCAGAGGACCAGCTGCTGAGAGATCACGCGGTAGCGGTTCCTCCGCTGCAGCATCTCGTTAATGCCAAGGATGAGCTTTAACCTTTCTCACTCCACACTGAAACCCATAGGTGCTGTTGTGACAACATTGTAACAGGGATCCACAGCAGGACTCCGCCCTTTCCCCTGCACCTTTTCCATCCCCATACCTTCCACTGATCCTGAGTTGCCAAAGACCTGCTCAGATCTTGCTGTTACAAAGAGGACCAAGGTGCTCCGAAGGAGAAGCGAGGGGCCAAAGTCCAGTGGTGCTGAGGCCCCCACGTTGTCGTTGCAGAGTTCAGAGCTGCCTGAAGATGGTGTTTTGTTTATCTCACAGACCAGTGTCTGCAGGGACGTCCAGGGGTGGGGTGACCTGCTCGCACCCCGTGGCAGCCCCCTGCAGGCTCTCTGCTCCCTGGACACCGTACACTTGAAGGTCTGTTCGTGCACCGGACCCCGGAGCAGCACTGCACACAGGCTTCCCGGGATTTTCCCTGCGTTTGGATTGAGGAAGTTGTGTAGCCTGAGTGGAGAGGAGTGGTCTTTTTTAGTTACTGTACAGGTCCAATAATTTGTCATTTCCTGGAGAGCACTGCAAGGGACGCTTCCCTCCACAGAGGACAAGTGTCTTGCCTGGAATGCCTGGGACACAGACTTGCACCGAGTTTGGCTCTGCCATCCTCACGTCATTCTTCTCCCGCACCAAGCAGCCTGGAAGGGTGTGTCTTTGTCTTTTCTAAAGCATGGCCAATATTTCTCCTATTTGCACTATGTCCCATCAAGAAAGTTTTGGGTGGACTTTGATGTTGTTAAAATGCTTGTCTTCTATTTCTTCTATTCCACTTCCATCACCTTGAGATCCTACCCGTGGCAACAGGGAGGCTGGCAGCTCTTCATTGCTCCCCCTGTCAGC